GCCCATAACCCACTATGCCACCAAGACGACATTGGCCTTTTTAAGCAGATGTAGCCGACAATTGTGAAATACAAGGGTAAGTCAGAAAGTAGTGTTCTAAGGTTCTAGTTCATACATGCACAGAGTTATTCTGAACAAACATGTTTAAACGTATCTTTGCAATCAGTGGGTGACTGCAAGTAAGCTGCCTCAGTCGTGCGTTTACCTTACTTGTCTTAGTCTCATTAGGGTGTCTTCTAAAACACAAAAGACTTTTTGTGCCATGGAAAAAACGATTTTAAGGTCAGGGCTAATATCAAATTTTTAACAAAACTCAAGTATACATCTTCCCAAATCATTGAAACTTTGCCACAGGTTAAGGGGAATACTGCCCCACAAAAAAACAATAGCTGAATCACACATTTTAAGAAAGGCTGGGGAAGATCTCGAAGATGAATGAATTCAAGAAGAGAGGTTAGTTTAGAAGGTTATAGTGACTGTTTTTTGGTATTCCAAAGGGGTCGTCTTGATAGATTTTCTTGAAAGACACAGAGACTCATGCAGAAAACATTTTAAGAAAATTTAAACTACACTGGGGAGAAAAAAATCCAGGAAAGTTGTGCCAAGGAAATTTTTTTCCCGTCAGGATAATGCACCCACTCATTCTTCAAGGTTAGCAAGGGCTGTCCTAAGAAACTTTTGTTGAGGAACTTTACCCCATCCACTCTTATCATTGTCATTGTTGTTAGGTGCCATCGAGTCAGTACCAACTCATAGTGAGCCTATGCACAACAGAACCAAACACGGCCCGGTCCTGGGCCAATCTCATAATCGTTGCTACGTTTGAGCCCATCGATGCTGCCACTGTGCCAGTCTGTCTCACCAGGGGTCTTCCTCTTTTTCTCCAACCCTCCTCTTTACCAAACATGTTATCCTTCTCCAGTGACTGGTCACTCCTGATAGTATGTCTGAAGCATGAGAGACAAAGTCTGGCTATCCTGGCTTCCAGGGAGCACTCTGGCTATACTTTTTCTAACATAGATCTATTTGTTCTTTTGGCAGTCTCTGGTAATTTCAGTATTCTCCTCCAACACCATAACTAAAATGCATCAAGTCTCCTAAGGTCTTCCTTATTCACTTTCGCATGCATATGAGGTTACTGAAAATACCATGGCTTGGATCAGGCACACCTTCGTCCTCAAACTGACAGCTTTGCTCTTCAACACTTGAAGAGGTCTTGTGCAGCAGAACTGCCTGATGCATTTGATTTCTTGACTGCTGCTTCCATGAGTGTTGATGGAAATACCCTACAGCCCTGATACTGCCCCTTTAGACTTCTTAGTCTCAAAACTCAACATTGAAAAGGAACATGACCTGAGTCCCTTGAGGATGCCACAGTTGCTGGTTACTGCTGCTGTGCAGGGCCATCAAGTCGGTTCTGACCCATAGAGACCCTGTTGTAGGGTTTCCAAGGAGCTGCTGGTGGGTTTGAACTGCCGACCTTGTGGTTAATAGTCCAGTGCTGGTCCTACAGCACCACCCCGTGAGTTCCCCGGAAGGGCTAGAGAGAAGGAAACACCGTCTTCAGAACTACATGGACCTGAATTGGGAGGGTATGTTGAGAAACAGTTGCTTTCCATTTTGATTATTTTGTTTAATAAAGGTTGCTAGGCTATTTTAGCAGTACTTTCTGACTTAACCTCGTATAATCACAGCTATGATTTAGAGGCCTGGTTACTTGGTGAATGAAGAACTAGAATGTTTTCATTGATTAACTGTATCTTAACTTCAATAATTCTCATGCTTCTTTAAAATTCTCCATGTTTCAAACCTGGTTAGGAAGCAAATATATTTTTAGGATTTTTGTGAACTAGTCCCAATTTAACTGCATCTCTTGTTTATTTTCCCATCATTGGGATGTCAGCTTCTTACTATTTGTTACGTTTTGGCTCCCATGGTTGGTCTTATCTTAAAGTGTGGTTTCCTTTCTCAGATGGTCCCTTTCTGGTGAGTTGCCTATTGCTTCTGTGGTTCTTGGTGGTTGAAGGGATCTCAGTCCCAAGCACAAGTCCTACTAATAAAGACCATGATTAAAGCAGGCCAGAAGAGTCTTTCGTTTCCAAAATGGACTTAAATGCGGGCTCAAAGTACATTCAGCTCACCGAAACTCAGCTCCAGCAAAGTGCAAAGCACCGTTTTTGTCCTCCCAGAATTGAGGATCAAAAGCAATCAACAACTGACCTTTAGTCACAAACTCCCTCATTAGGTGGGAGTACATGAGGAACTATCTTACCCCATTTCTGTAGTCTTTATACAATTAAGCTGATAAAAGGCATAAATATTGGTCAGGTTTAAAAGCAATAATCAGGGAAACAATTTAAGAAATTCTATTAATTTTTCTATGGTTTACCTTATACTTCAAATAAATCATTTAGCTGCCTTCTTTTAACCTTCTGCTCCAAAAGCACTTTTCTAATGAACTTGGACCCCAGTATTCCATGTGTGTGGTTACTCATTAAAACTTTATCTCTTAAAAAAAAAAAAAAAAAAAAAAACACGCACACACAAAAAAAACTTTATCTCTTATAAACTTTCTTGATTTAAGGGGTTTGACTAGGCTCAAGCTCAGCAATCCAATCCTTAGATGTTTCTCAGGGCTAGGATTTCAGACCGGCCAGCTAAGCACTATTTGTTACTCCAACACTCAGCCCCTCCAGTCTTGGCAGAAGGTATCACTTTCTGTTTAGCTCCCGAGTGGAAGGACGCCTAACTAAGAAGGTAGCTGATTTGTTCACAGATTTTGCTTACCATGGGTACGTACACATAGTTAACCTTTACTATGCTAGCAGTACTGTGTTATCACTATACTTTGGGGCTCTGTAAAGATAAACTGAAAGTAGATGCAGATATGGAGCAATGATTGATTTCAGGTTCCACAGATGGCTTTTGTGCATGGGAAGAACAGGAAGAGTCCCAGGGACATGCAACTGGAACACAAGTGTAGTACCAGGAGACATCAGAAAGGTCGTGGAAACATTCCATTTTTCCATCAACTTTTTGAAGCCCTGCTGGTTGTCAGGGTCCCCCTTAGCTGAAGTGCTCCATACAGGTGGGTTCACAGCTGATGTGAGCATTCTTGTCCTCTCAGCTCCTAGCCCACTGTGTAGTGAGCAGTCTGTGCTTCTTAAAAGGCCCCTGAACAGCAACTCAGTAATTCAGAGTGTCAGTAACCCACCTCAGGATTGCCTGCATCTAGACATACCTCAGACTGGTGACTGGAGGACAGGCTTCTGTGGCTGGTTCCGCCTTCCTTGACCAGATTTTGAATGTGTACTTTCTCCAGAAAAGGCCTCTGTATTTGTCTGACTGTTATGGAGCCCCGCAGGGGTGGCATGAATTGTTACTATGATACAGGCCTTGTCCTGGCTTTGAGACACTGAGAGGCCTTGGACCCTGCTCCCAGGACTATCTTCGTCTAGGTCTGCCCTTGTATGGGGCTGCCCTTATCTGAGACCATCCTTGTCCAGGGCTGTCATTCAGGGTCATTTAGCGCCCAGAACTGGCCTTACCTTGGGAGCCACAGTCTCAGGCACAGGTCATTGTTCACGACTGGCCAGAGACAGAGGGACATCACTTCTTCCTGGCAAGTCCTTAACCTCAATAGAAAGTTGTCCCTCCACAACGGAAACTGGGGCCTGGGGGGGGGGGGGGGGGGGGGGGGGGGGCAGGGGGCGGCTCTGCAGCCCCCACAGTTGCCCTTGCACCTCCTGTTCTGCTCTCACTGGGCCCTGACTGCCTCACTGCCCCCGGGACTTCCGGGCAACATTGCAGACTAACAGACCAAGGAATGGGCTCCCAGACCCCGGGACATAGGCCCTGCCATCTCAGAAAGTCCAAAAGGATCAGAGCAGGGCCATTTTACTCTTGTGGGGTCCCTTGGTGAAGTAACAAAATGAGCTCATTGTTGTCTGTGGTGGAGCCTGGGAAATTAGTATGGTGTGCTTTCCCCCATTTGCCATACTCCACTTCAAATCTCATTAGTTCCTACTGGCATTGACCCTGGTCATCGATTGTGAAAGGAACTCTGATGGTGCATCAGTGAAGTGTTCAGCTGCTAACAGGCTGCTCATTCAAATCCAATCACTGCCTGCTCCCAGGAGAAAGCTGGGGCCCTCTGCTTTGTAACGTTGACAACCCCAGAACCCCTATGGAGGCAGTTCTACTCTGTCCTAAAGGATCGCTGTGAGTCAGGATCCGAATTGCAAATGGAGAAATAATAAACGGCAATGGGTTTATTGTTTTTCCAGCACGTTGGCTAGCTGGGTATCTTTGGACTCTCTGGAGCCAGGACCTGCCTTTGACAGTAGTCTTTGTCACTTCAGTTGACAGAATTATTGTACTGCGGGTTAATTGTCCATTTGACCAACTTTTTCTTTTCCAATGGGGTTTTCTCAAGTGAGTCAGTCACACTGACCAAAGCCAAGCATTTGGTTCCAACAGAAAAGGAGTTCTTGGTACATTGCAGTCTAGGGAGGTTTTCCTTCCTCCATGGGTCTCACTGGTCCCGGTAGCTCTGTAGACCCTGGAATGAGTATGACAGTTGCTGCTACGGGTCACCCTTACATCCAGTCTGGCCATCGTAAATGTCAGCAACCAGTGTGTACAGATCAAAACAAACCCAAGACATCAATCGACTTGGCTGCCTTCACAAAAAAGTCAAGTGACCCTTGCAGGAGGAAGTTTTAATGCCTCTTCCACCCCTCAGAGGTATACAACATGGCAGCCACTATGCAGAGAAAGCAGTACGATGTAAGTAAAACAGCATGTCCTAAAAGCAGCCGTTTTCCCTGAGGTCACTTCTCAGATCACGGAGTCAGTAGTAAAATATGACCTATTCACCTTTTCATCTTCACCCTCAACTTTACAGGCGTGCATCCTCGTCCTCGTGTGGAGACCATGATGGCACTGCACTGAGCTCAACGGTGATTTCCCTCTGTGCTGACTGTAACTTTTGTCCATAGGTCTGAAGACATACCTGATATCGGGTCAGAGAGCGAAGGAGTCTCAATGCAGCTGTGCAGAGGTCTTGCTGTCTGGTTTCGAGGTCATTGGCGGTCCCCAGGGGTCTTCAGGCCCTAGGTTGCAGGGGACAACATCACCAGGGAGTGTCAGTGACTTGGCACAGACTGTCAAAACCTTTGATAACCTTAAGGTTAGTTTTTGTTTTTTGTTTTTTTTTTTCCCCCGTGTTTTTCCTCCTCCTTCTAAAAATTTCTATGAATTCTGCTCATGTAAAGAGCATACTAGCCTTCAGGTCTGTGGACTACGCTTCCATTTTGGTTTTCAGAATTGTGTGTGTGTGAAGTTAGCAGCATTTGGCATTTTAAAAATGCGTGTTTCTTCTGGGACATCTGAGAGGGCTCCAAAAAGTTCCTGGAAAAATTCCATGATCTTTTATTACCTTTTTTCCCCATGAACTTTTTGAAGCCCCCTACGTACTTATTTCTCTGTTGCATAAAGTACTCTTCATACTATTTCTCTGTTGCATAAAGATATTTCTCCCTTAAGTTGTTGGTGGTTTGTTTTTTGTTTTTTTGTAACCTCTTGTGTCTTCTGGGATTTTTGAAAGCTGATGATAAGTGTAGTCCTTAGGATGGTACAAGCAGCCAAAGGTGGTGGTTTCACCTCATCCAGAGGCACCTCAGAAGAAAGGTCTGATGATCTGCTTTCGAAAACTCAGCCATTGAAAACCCTATGGAGTCTAGTTCTGCTCTGACACAGAGGGAGGAGGGGCTGCCGGAAGTCGGCGTCAGCTTGATAACAGAGAACAGTGATAAGTGATGTCCAAGTGGTTCTTCATGCCTCATTTGGAGGGTGAGCCTGTATCTTATTTCACAGTCAGCTTTCTTAGATAGATACACCTCGGCCTCTTGGTATCCAGGTGGATCAGCACTGGACTGTGAGCAGTTCAACCCTACCAGTTGCTCCTTGGAAACCCTAGACAGGGTTGCTATGAGACAGCACTTAACAACAACAGGAACAATGGTTTGTTTAAGTTTTGTCAGTGTGGATAAAGGTCCCTGAAATGAGGGCCAGCCTGCCACCAACACCATGACATCTCTGGTGTAGCCTAGGTATACCCAACTCCACATGGATGTGCTGTCTGAATAAATCACCAAGAATTAACACACTCAACCTGGGGCATAGGAAGCCCATCTAGTTTAGGAGCCTCCACCAACACCTTGTAGTTTTACAGTTTAAATATTTGCCATTTCCTTTTGGGGGGAGGAGAGTGATAACAGTTCCGCCTCACTGTTTGTGCTCTCAAATGACAAAATGATGGATTTGGTCAGGGATGGTGGGCCAGTATTTTGGCTTTAATCCAGTGTGTTTCGCTTTTCTCTACATTCGTAAGCAGATTTGAAAGCTAGCTGTGTGTCATTAAGCTTTGTAGGCATAACAGTATGTCTGCCAGTCAGACTTTCAGGTCACCTCACTGTGTCTGAATCCGAAGAATCTCTCCCTATCATTTGTAATGATTACCTTCACATTTCCCAACCTAAGCACTGTTGGCATTTTGGGTCAGAATATATTTTCTCATGACACTATCGTGTGTGTTGTGGGACAGTTGACAGCATCTCTGTTCTCCACCCCTGGATGGCTAGGGGCACCTACACACACACACAAACACACGTCTCCAGGTACTGCCCCTTGTCCCCTGGTTGAGAACCACGGGGGTACTGGTATCGCCCCATCTGTCTCCCCACGCTCTACTGGTACATGCCTGACAGTTTATGCATCAGAACTGTCCTTCAGAGCTGCACCTTTCAGATACAGTTGCTTTGTGCAGGCTGATGTTTCCCAGCAGAGTGAGATGTTCTGTTTAGGGCTGTGACAGCATGGGGCAGGGAAGCGTTAGTGTGAGGGAGGAATTCAAACACTCAGCCTTCCAAATAAAGCTGCTTTATTTTGGGAGAATTGGTTACCTCCAGACTTCCAACAGGAGTCATGTGTAAACAGAGAAATAGATCTCAAAGCTGAACTAAGAGATCCATTGTATCTGTCTGCCATCTGAGATGGCACTATTTGTGAAGTTGCTGAGCTCATCCTATTACATGCACGCAGTTCCAGTGACAGTATTTCCCTGCTAAATTGCTAGAGGTGTCCTTTACGCCAGAAGCCCATTTCTTGTTCTAATCTTCCACCTGCTTTGGTCTGGAAGGGCAGAGACCACTTTGCATATTCTACAGCCATGTGCAAAATCCCCAAATAATCATGGAAAGTATTATGAAAATCTTTTGGCTTCTGAAGTTAAGTTGACCATGTTCTCCAAGAGGAAGTTAAGCCAAAGAATGATCTCTGTGCCCCTTTCAGGAGGGATAGAGGTGAACTGGGTCTTCCGACTATGATTTGTAGGACCTATGGATGGCTTAGGAGCCTTGGTAATGCTGTGAGCTAAGCAGTGGGCTGCTAGTCGAAATTTTGGTATTTCAAGCCCACCAGTCGCTCTGTGGGGAAAAGATGAGGCTATCTGCTCCCATAAACGTGACAGCTTCAGAAACCCTATGGGGCAATTCTGCCCTGTCCTTGGAGTCTCTGTGAATCAGAATTGACTCAGTGACAGTGGGTTAGTTTGGTTTTAATGGATGATGAGATCTCTGAGGCCAGGACTGCCCCCAGAAAATGAGAATGATTTGGACCCTACAGCTGGAGTGGAAAGAGCATGGAGAGTTAAGAGACCCAGTTTCTGCTCCTGGCTTTGCCACTTTGGGGAAATCGTTTTTACACTCTCACTTCCCAGCTTCCAGTTTTTGTGATAAGGCTCAGATGAGATTGAGCTTCTGTAAGTGCCTTGCAAACCACAGCCCTGGGCAACTGTGGGCGAATCCTTAGGAAGCAGAATACCAAAACAGTAGGAAACTGAAGTCTGTTTTCATGAGTTCGTAGACTATAATCTGGTATGTTAATAAGCCTTCCCTCAAATGAAGATGTGTTGTGGGGTTTTTTGTTTGTTTTTTAGATTTTACCTGGGTTTATGCGTGCATGTGTGCATGGTTTAGCTGAAAGTTTACCGAGCAAATCAGTTTTTCAGTTAACAACTTATACACGTTTTGTTTTATAACCTTAGTTGTAATTAAGGTTACTGATGTAAATGAAATTAAGAATTTTTGAACAATACAACTCTCAAATCCCAGTTGCTTGCTCATACTTTCTGTGGGTGTATTTATCCTATATAAACAGTTACGTGCCTCCAGTGTGTACAGTTGCTGTATTGACTTACTGATACCATCCAAACCAAGGTTAACGTTTAAGATTAGCCAAAGTCTTGGGCTCATTCCATCGAATCTTTTCCCAGGTCCTGTCCATTCTTCCTACCCATGGCTTCTGTTCCTTTGTCTCTGCTGCTGCATCATCTAGCTAGAGTTCACGCCCACGTGGATTTCTGTAACCGGCTCCCACACCGCCCTCTGCCCATCTGTTCACCTGGGAAAACTTGCTTCATTCAAGAAGTCTGGTGTCAGACTGTGTTCCCAAATCTGTTTTCAGTGTAGATCTAAGTCTCAAATATAAAAATGTGTTCTGGAGTCAAATACATGCGGGTTATCTTGGATGAACCCCATATTAAAAGGGCTCCTTTATTGCAAGACTTCTCAGAGCCTTCAATATGCTAATGGGTGTTGTTAGGTCTGCAGAGAGGACATGCCACATGGCATTTCTCAACTCTGTTTGACCACAGAGTTATTTTAGCAAGAGGCACCTTGTGGGACTTGTGCTGTAGGCAACACCTTTTCTAAAAAACAGTAATAAAACACTGTATTGTGAATTGCGTGCAGGTTTACAGAGCAGTCTGTTAATTTTACACTCAGTAATTCACGTACTTTGTTTCTTCTCAGTGGTTGCAATCCCCTCCAGGTAACATCGCTGATCCCACTTCCTCCCTGTTTTTCTCTTTCCATTCCTCCTCCTTTCCCAGCCTCCAGAATTGTGTCTTTAGCTGTATGCTGCCCTTTTGATCTTGAATGGTTGACCATTTAAACTAATAGCCACAAGGTTGGTAGTTCAAACACATCAGCTGCTCCTTGGAAACCCTATACAGGGTCACTGTGAATCAGAACTGACCTGACCGCACCTAACAACAACATACTTTACTAGTGGTGGTGTTCCCCTGTATACTGTCTACTGCCTGGCTGAAAATTGAGCCATTGAGGATGAGTTCCGTTCTAGACCTGAACTAGACCAACAGCCATAGTCTCAGATTCCTTCAGTTGTTGCTGAGTATTATTAAGTGCCATCAAGTCAGTTCCGACTCACAGTGACCCTATATAGGGTTTCCAAGGAGCTGCTGATGGGTTTGAATCACTGACCTTGGTGAGTTTCCTGTGATGATTCTAGCCAATGGTGGTGTCTCTCCTTGCCTTCAATTAACTCTTGATTCCATTTAGTCGATATCACTTGTCCATCGCATACACAATCCCAAACATTTACTTGTTTACCGTACACACTTTTGTCAGCTCTTTGAAGTCAGAGACCATGTGTTAAACCACAAGGGGCTTTATAAGGCTTCTTGTGGAAAAAAATCCATTGTCTTTCAATTCCATTTTTCCACAAACTTTTTTTTTTAAGTTTTTATTGTGAATTGAGTGCTAGTTTACATGGGAGAACATCTGCTTTACACTCATCCTATCGTATTTTGTTTCAGTGCAATGATTACATTCCCCTATCTGCATCATCATTCAACAGCATTTGCTTTTATTCCCTCTATTTTATTTTATTATTATTATTTTTCTTTGTTTACACCAAAACACTCAGGAATATATACTCAGGAAATCGTATAGCGGTCAAACCACCAAAGTGCATATCCTGCAAGCCTGTCCCCCCGGCCACCAGCACACAGCCCCTCTCTTCCATTCTATCTCTCCACGTCATCATCTCTGCCTCCATCTCTGGTATCACTGCTTCTCTGAATAGGGTCCCACACTCCGCTCCTGCTCTTCTCCCTTTATTAGTCCCAGGGTCCTCCGCTCCTGGACTGCAAGATAACCACTCCCTTCTTTTTGCTGCAAAACGTCTACCTTTACATTTGCAACAATCACAGTCAGTCATGATAACAATTACTCACTATTGAACCATGAGAGTCTTATCCCCATCTCCTTTTACCAACTCCATCTAGACAGGTTGAAAACCACTCTGTGGAGATCTTTCCCGGCACCC